TGAGAGCATTTGTGGTGAGCCTAAGAATGCTGCAGCGCGGAACATAAAAGATCTGATGCGGACAGAAAAATGGAAAAAGGTACCGAACTCTTAAATGGACATTTTCATTTTAAATCTCTTCCAGACGGCAGAGTTGATAGAAGCAAAGTTATTTGTAACCAACTTAAATGCAATTCACACCGTTGATGCCAGCAAATCACCCACCCAAACAAACAGTGTAGGGAGGCTTCGGAGTGGGAGTGTGGGAGAACTATAGATAAACAAAAGAAAGATAACAAATGACATAGCGAAGTGGGTAGCTACAAACTGCAGGACGATTAGTATTGTGGAAGATGTTGGTCTGAAGAACGTTCTTAGGATCGCAACGAATGACTGCACGTATGAGCCTCCCCCAAGACGCACCATCACAAGAAGAAAACATGAATCGTATGAAAAGGAGAGGACTACAAAGGCAACGGCGTTACAATGTGCACCAACTGTTGCCCTCACCGGAGACTACTGGACATCGCTGGGCAACCATAATTACCTCGGAGTTACAGTGCATTATATTGATGAATAGTGGGAACTGCATTTACATGCTCTGGCAGTAATGAAAACACAGAGAGACATTTTGCTGAAACGTTCGCTGAACATTTTATTCATGTTGCACAGCAGTGGAATGTCTCAAATAAAGTCGGCACACTTAGCACAGATAGTGCAAGAAATGCAGAAAAGTTGTGGGCCATTTTAAACACAGTCCAGCGAGTGCTGCAGAATTAGAACAAAAACAAATTGAACATGAACAAAAGAAGGAGTCCATTATACAAGACATTCCAACCAGATGGAATTCGACTCTGGACATGATAAAAAGTGTCCGCAGAAACGAACAGCCACTGAGGGATGTTCTCACCACACCAAGATCACCATGCCAACTACAGCTGAAATGGACAAACTGGAGAGGTTGGAAATGCTACTGGAGCCCTGCAGGTATATTTTACGTCATATATTTCTCACTGTCCTGTCTGAGTGCATGTGAGAGAGAAATAGTGTGTCTGTATGTGTGTGTAAATATAGCATAAATATGTAGAGGACATTTTTATAAGTAAATGCAAAACATTTGGGTGAAATGGGTTTGATTTTTTGCAGGTATGTGACTGAACTTCTGGGAGGAGAAAAGTATGTTTCATGCTCTGTGGTTCTGCCTGCTTTATGCCATCTTTTTCGGGTGATGGAGAGCTCAGATGATGACCCGGCCTATGTGGTGAAATTCAAGTCTACATTCAGAACAGACCTGGAGACACGCAAGGAAAATGCCAACATTGCATATCTGAAGATTGCTACCGCATTGGACCCGAGATTCAAGGGCCTCAAGTGTATACCCAGAGCTGAGAGAGGTGAGGTGTGGGCCTCAGTCACTAACTTACTCAAGGAACGGAGGGTTGTTGCAGAGAAACCTGTGGAAGCAACAACATCAAAGCCACCAAAGAGAAAGTTTGCCCTATTGGCTGCTTCATCAGAGTCTGATTCTGAACACGAGGAAGACTCAGTTGAGAACAGTGTGCGTCGATACAGAGCAGAGCCCACCATCAGTACAGAGGCCTGTCCGTTACAGTGGTGGTCCAAACATGCAGGCTCACACAGCAGGCTGGCCTCCATTGCACAGTACTTGGCCTAACCTGCAACATCCGTACCCTGTGAAAGGTTGTTTTCTCTTGCTGGTAATATTGTACAGAAGAAGAGAATTTCTTTATCATCTGAAAATGTGAATGACCTTGTGTGTCTTAGCACAAGTAAATGTAAAGTTGGAGGAATGGATAAATGCTGTTAATTTTGTAATTTTATAACTACTCAACCTGTATCGCTGAAAGTTTTTTTTTTTTTTTTTACTGAGATTCTCCAAAGGAGAATGCTGTAACTTTTTAACAAACTAAACAAAACGTTAATGCCCTGGCAGTGGCAAATAGTTTTGTTTTTATTTAATTTAATTACATTAATGTTTAAGTTGAGATTTACTGGAAATATTTTAACTGCAACTAACTTGTAACTGCTGTAAAAAAAAAAGCACCTTATTTGTTTAAAGTGTTTGAAAACCAAATGTTATTGCACTTTAGTTCATATAGCAGTACTTTTAAAATAAAAGTACACAATACACTACTTTTGAAATAATTATTGAATTTTGTGCATACTGTTAGCCTGGGAAAACTTCTGGCAAATTTAGATTTGCTCTGCAAGTTAGTCTGGCAAAGAGCTCATTCAAGCCCATTTCTAATCCGTCAAAATCGCGGCACCAATCAGAAACGTTGGTGCGGGCTTTACACGATGACGACAGCACAGCGACGGTGAAGCAGATTTTGTACATTTACAAACATGGATACCGCCGTGGAACTAGGGGTGTGACGGTTATAGTTGAACACTGTCATTAGAACTCTATAACCGGCAAAACCATGTTATAAAAATATTTTTTTCACAAAAATGTATTATCATAGAGAATGTTTAAATACTAATATCAGCTTACGAGGGAAACGGAGGCGGAGTTACTGGTGCTTCGGAGGCTGCTACTGCTGGAGATGATTCAGGAGAGGTCTGTGCCCCTTTACCGATCAGAGCTCGCGCTGACACGGAGTAAAGCCTTGTTTATACTCGACGCGTCCGCACGAGTGCGAAGGTGTGCGCGGCAAAAATGATGCGTTCGGTGCGCAAGACCCCATTTCGCTTGGCTGTGTGCACGGCTTTTTTTGTAACAGCTCGCGGCGCCGCGTCCAAGGATGAACGACTTCAAGCCGAATCTGCCCGAGCATGTACGTCTCACCGCACCGGCACGCAGTTTGCGCGTCTAAATTGCAAAGTTCATTGCAAAGTTTTTTTTTGTTAAGGTGTTGTTTACTGTGTGTGATTTATTTAAATGGAAAGCACATTCACTTCTAGTTGTCTTGCTGTTCATTTTAAATAAACGTAGAGCAAGTAGCTAATCAGTGTCTGCTCTATAACAGACGAACGTCGCTCTGCATACGTCATCTCCTTCATCGCTCTGATTGGTTTTAGGTCTATCCAATTGCGCCCAGAGGCATTTGAGCTATGTCCGTTGGTCTTGGGCTTTTTGAAAAGATTGCTATCGACGTGGCTCCCTTCTCTGGCGGGAAAAGAGATTGAAGTGGAACGAGCACATCGCGTGTATACAAAGGCTACATCAGATCGTGCTAAACCATGGGTCTTTCTCTTTAAACTTCTGCGATACACGGACAGGGAGCTCATTCTGTGGGCTGCTAGACTGCATGCCCTGGTGAAAAAAAGCGATGGAGCAGCGCTGTCCTTCTTTCCAGACTTTTCTCCTATGACTGCAAAAAGAAGAAGTGCATTTGCACCAATTCGGAGGGAAATGCGGGAAGCTAGCATCCAGGTTTTTCTTCCTTTCCTGCAACGCTGAAGGTCATTCTCTATCAAGGCAAGCCAAAAATGCTGTACTCCCCGGTGGAAGCAAGACACTTTCTCGGTTTGCCAGTTAGCCACTAACCCCCGCTGAACTTCAGCTGGTAATTTGCTGAGACGTTCTAAGTACTAACTCGTTAGGTGACTGTTATTTCATAGAGTTCACCTCACTTTATTTTGGACGTCATAATTATTGAAACGCTGAGCTCTCACTATTATATTTCTTATCGGGTTGTGTGACGTGAGTTTTTTTTACATCTTTTATTTACGTGTATCTAAATGTCGTATTATTTTTATTTTATATATTTTTGACTTTTTATTTATTTATTTATTTTTTAATGTATTTTTTCTTTTGATCTACTTGCTAGCCATTATGTTAGTATTGGGCCAATGTTGGTGCTTTAGTAATGTGCAGGTTTCTGTTGACGCTACGTATCGTATTAAGGGGGGTTGGTGGATCAAGGTTTGTTCTTGGTTTGATCCCCCATAGTTTATTGGAATATGGTTATGTTTCTCCAAATGGTGATGGGTGGTTTGATGGTTGACTCAAATGGTTTCATTTTCTAAGTTGTACTTTGTTTTATCAAGCAGCATTTCAATTGGATACTTATGACTGAGCTTAATATTCTAAGTTGCAATATAAATGGCCTAAATGGGCCTCACAAACGCACAAGTTTTTTGGATTTTTTACAAAGAAGAAAGATTGATATAGCGTTAGTGCAGGAATCCCATTTGAAAGAGGAGGATGTACGCAGGTGCAATAATACACTGTAATGAATTGCTGTAAAAATTTTGCAATAAAAAGCAATATTTTACAGCAGCTGGCTGTTTTCTAATAATACAGCATATTACTGTAAACTGCAATGCATTCTGGGGTCGCGGGGCGGTTTGATTCAAAATACAGAATGTTGCTGTAAATTTCAAATCTACAGAGGCATTGTGATCTTCAACGGTCGTGTCGTCGACTTTCGGGTAGCGGCAAGAGGAGTGATTCTCAACTCTGTGGTAAGTGACTTATTATTTCAGTTTCTTATTTTTATGTTGTGTTACTCGTAGACTATGAAGGTAACGTTATATTCGCGGTTCATATTGGTAACCGAGGATCACGCATCCTCCGTACGGGGCACGAGGGAGACTTGCGCGGGGCTTCAGCATCACGGACGCGGTAGTATTTCACACATTCCTCGGGATCTATGGGCTCCTATGTTAAGAAGAATTACATGCTTTAATGACAACAGTTGGTATTCACACGAGCTTCGTGTTGATCTGCACACTTCGTCGTGATTATTTTATGGTGTAAATCAAATCAAAATCAAGTCATCTGTTAAAATGGGCGCCGAAATGAAAACGCCGTTGCTAAACCTTGCGTCAGAATCTGAATGTTGCTGTGTCGCATGTTTAATATGCCGGTGTAAAAATCCCTTACATTTCAGTACGAATATAGGCTAGCCTATATCCTATATATTTTAGCTATAGCCTGTGTGTGTAATTTGGTTATTGTTTTCATAATTCCTTTGTTAATTTTATTTAAAAGAAAGAGTTCCTGCACTCTGAATAAAATATAGTTTAAATTTAAAAAGCTGAAAAATAAAAATAAACTATTGTCACATGTGGTATTGTTTTAGGAGACACTTTGACAAGTGGACACTGGAAGACCAAGTTGTGTGTGAGGAGAGTATTCAGCCCAGCTTCCTGTCTGGCCTTGCTACTGTTCACTGCATATTACATAAATCAGGAGGAGGCAGCCTGCACCTTGGAGTTCATTTAAAGGTAATGATTGAATTCTTAACAACCTCAGTACATTTTACACATGTATTCAATATCAGAACTTGCCTTTAGATATATTATCTGTTGACTTAATTAGTTAAATCAGGTGTTTTAATTAGTGGACATAGGGTTAGGGTTGGGGAGGTCTTCCTGAGAGGTCCTCATGACTGGAGTTGAGAAACACTGCTCTAACAGATTTCAAAAACATGATTACAAGCATCAAAACTTAAAACCAATCCTAATTACATATTGTCTGTTTCCTGACCCATTAGGTGCTTTGTAAGAGAGGAACAAAGAAGAAAATTGCCATCTAAAACGACAGGCCAAATGGTACAGAAGAAACAGGTTGCAGTGAACCCACATGTTGCCACTCTTCCCTGCAAAGTGGTGTGTTATCAGTGGAATTTCTGAAATGTAAGTAGTATACACACACACAAATATCTTTTTTTCCTTTAATTGTAACCTTTTAATGTTCTTTATCTGACTCTAACTGTATCTGTCATCCCTCTGTCTGTCTCTGACTGTATCATTATGTTTTGTAATATATCTAATGAATTGTCCTTTTCAATATTTCTAGCCACTCTTTGCATCCTGTGATGGAACAGCATCTGGAGCTGAATTATTCTCCATTTTTGATCATAAGTTTTTTGGACTCACTTGGGGCCTTGTTGTTTGGACATGTTTGTCTGGTAATGAAGTGGTGAAAATTAATTCGTGTCTGTCTTTTTCAGAATCATTTTATTATGATCATTTTGGTCAACTTGTGGTTTTAAATGTAATTTGCGTATTTCTTCTTTGTGTGAAGGGCCATGACGGCTAATTTGTTTCAAGTAATTAAAAAAATATTTAATTTCATGTCCATTTAAAAAAAAAGTTTGTAAATAAAAATGAAATCAAAATAATAGAAAATACACTGTTTTATGACTTTTTTTCATGCATATTTTAAAGTTATAAATTAAATTGACCTGTTTTTCAAGATTAGGATGTTGAATAATTTGTTTGTTTTGTGAAGTAATAGGGGAATTAAGTTGTGCGTTATACAGCACTTAATGTATTTTAAAATAATTGTTTAAAGCTTATGCAGTTGATAAATAATTAACATTTAAAATTCAGCTGCCGAAAACGTAATATGACGCGATGTTGAAAAAAAAAGCGTTTTTTCAACCCGGTCAAGGAAACTGTCACATTTTCTACTACATTTGTGCCTTATGTCTTGCAAAACTATTTTAAATCCCACATTAACTTTTCATATGGTATTTTATATACACTGTTAAAAATTTCCTGTAAATTTTACAGTAAAATACTGGCAGCAGGGTTGCCAGCCAGTTACTGTATTTTTTACAGTAGCGTTTCTGTAATTTAATTTACAGACGCTACTGTAAAAAATACAGTAACTGGCTGGCAACCCTGCTGCCAGTATTTTACTGTAAAATTTACAGGAAATTTTTAACAGTGTACGTTTTATGAAGTAGTATCTCATTCATCTACTGATACTAAAACAAAAAGTGTCCTAATTTTGGTGCGGAGGACTTTAAATATCACTGTTTTGGATAAAGGCTGTGACTTGGATGGTAGAGTAACGCACATAAAAACAGTTGTGGAGAATAGGAATATTGTATTTCTTTCAATCTACGCTACATGTACTCCTGACCCTGCTTTCTTCTCTTTACTTTCAGTTTATCTCTTGAAATTCTCTGGCTTTGAAATTGTAATGGGTGCAGATATGAATTCTGCAATGTCCCATACTTTAGATAGATCTGGTCCAAAGGAATCACACTCCCAAGCTTTTTGTTCTGATAAATTACGGCAATGTGCAACTTCATCCTCACTGGTGGATCTTTGGCGATTAATAATTCTGCTAGTTCATTCACTTTCTTCTCCGCCCCTCATAAAACCTATTCACGAATCGACTATATTTTTATTTCTACTTCTTTAGCTCCAGCTGCTCAAGATATGGATTTTTTCTCCCTATCTCTGTCTGATCATGATGGGAATTTGATGCCCCTAGATGGCGATTCAACCTTAAGCTGTTACAGGATGGAAACTTTTGCAGTCAGTTCAGAAAAAGGTTTGCTGAGTTCATTGAAATTAACCTAGGCTCGGTGGATGGTCCACGAACACTTTGGAATGCGGTTAAAGGCTTTATAAGGAATAACTCAATTTCATATGCCTCTTTCCTCCAGAAAAAACGACACAAAAGATAGTTGAGCTGGAATTGCAGCTTCAGAACTTGACAAGAGATAAATCAACGATTTTTTTTTCGGACAATACACTCAGCAAAATCATGGAGGTTAGGATTGAACTCAACTCATTACTGAGATCCAGGGCAGAATTTTTGATTCAAAGATCCAGGCAGAATTACTATTTTCAGGGGAGTAGACCAAGTCACCTTTTAGCTCTGAGATTACGTAATAGTGAAAAGTTTGCTAACATTCCTGCGGTGAAATCCCAATCTGGGGACATTATGACAGATCCTAAAGATATTAATACCACTTTCGCTCTTTTTATTCTAACCTTTATACTTCTTCTAGTGGTGACCCTGACTCTTCTGCATCCTTTCTATCCAATCTTGATTTACCTCGGCAGTCAGCCAGATATTCAGATTCTGAATATCTGGCTGAACCGATTACTCTCCAGGAGCTGGAGTTACCAGCTAAATCTATGAACAAGGGGAAATCCCCTGGCACAGATGGTATTCCAATCGAATTATATACAACTTTTTGGTCTGACTTAGGTCCTCTAATGTTGGATATGATACATTTTTCAGTTTCGCAAGGTTCATTTCACTCATCGATTAATATAGCTATTATTTCTCTCCTTTTAAAAAAAGACAATGATCCGACTTCCTGTTCTAGCTATCGGCCACTTTCTTTGATAGGGACGGATGTTAAATTGTATGCTAAAGTGCTGGCCCGACGTTTAGAGAGATTTATGAATAGATTAGTTCATTATGACCAGACAGGGTTCATTAAATCTTGTTCCGCCTCGGATAACTTGCGCAGGCTATGTCATATTGTTAATTCAGCGAGTATGTTGACTTCCTCTTGCGCAGTATTATCTCTGGATGCGATGAAAGCTTTCGACCAGCTAGAATGGAACTATTTGTGGTTGGTTCTACAACATCTGGGTTTAGGGTCAAGTTGTATAAACATGATTAAAATTCTGTATACCAACCCAGCAGCTGCTGTTCTTACAGGTTCAGTTTGTTCAAATCCATTCTTTATACAGCGAGGTACTTGTCAAGGTTGCCCGCTTTCTCCTTTGTTGTTTGCTTTATCCTCGGAACCCTTAGCTCAAGCGGTCCGACAATCTGAAATTATCTCCCCAATAATTATAAGAACACACACCATCATATTTCATTGTTTGCTGATGACATCTTATTGTTCTTGGAGAAACCGTCACATTCTATCCCCCAGGTGTTGAATTTATTTGACCATTTTGGATGCCTCTCTGGGTTTAAAATGAATTGGAGCTAGTCATGTCTGCTCCCCCTCAATTCTAAAATTGACCTCACACCCCTATCCATATCCATTCCGGTGGTTCAATCCTTCAAGTACCTGGGTATAGATATCTTCCCATCCCTTCAGAAAATTATCTAGAAAAACCTGAATAGTATTTTAGCAAAAATATCCTCAGACTTGGAAAATTGGTCTCGTCTCCCTACTTCTTTTCATGCTCGTATCTGTAATTAAAATGAATGTTCTTGCAAGTATTGATTTCTTTTCATCTATGATTCCCCTTCCTCCAACTGCTGGCTTCTGGAATAAACTCGATGCATGCATTTCTCTTTATATGTGGGATGGGAAACGTCCTCGAATCAAGCTGACTACCTTACAGTGTGGCAGATTACATGGAGGTCTGTCTTTCCCTAATTTTAGACTTTATGCTCAAGCCTTTACCCTTCGCCCTTTATCAGTCTGGTTTGATCCTGATGCTTCTGTGTCATGGAGAGCCATGGAGGAATCTATGGTTTATCCCTATGAACTGAAGCATCTTGTTTTTTCCGGGGTTCCACTGAGGCAGTGTAAATCTCAGTTTGGTCCTATTGTAACTCATCTTCTCTCTACTTGGAGGGAAGTCTAAAAGCAAACACAAGTTACAATCTGGCATAGGTATTCGCCTATTTTCCATAATAATAATCTTTTGTCTGACAAGGCCCCATTTCAATATCCGCAATGGAAAAAAAAAGTAAATACTTTGGGAGAGATCTATGATGATATGGGTCTAAAATAATTTCAGAACATTAAAGCTCAATATAAATTTACAAGGTACCTCTTTTTATATGTATTTGCGAATAAGATCGGCCCTTCGGGCATATGGGTGCCTTGGGACTCCCATTTACCTATTCACCCACTGCGCAAATTAATCCTTCCTTCTGAGAGATCTCCCTCTTCTGTGTTGGTTATTTATCGGTATCTTCTTGAGCATTCATACAAACCCTTATCTATTACAACTGTTTGGGCCAAGGATCTTAAGATGTGCATGTTTTATTTTCGGATCAGGTATGGAGGATGTTTAAGCTGTCTTCAAAGAACCCCAATCATCAAATGATACACTGGAAATTACTACATAGGGTTTACTTGACTCCTATGAAACGTTTCTATATGAATCTATCCCCCTCTCCCAAGTGTAATCTTTGTTCTCAATGATCTCTAGGTACGTACTTGCACTTCTTTTGGGACTGTCCCTCTCTTTCACCTTTTTGGACCCAGCTCTCACAGGACTTATCATATCTGTTGGACACTGATATTTGTTTGACCCCACACCATTTTTTTTAACGACTTAAGGGACCTAACCTTATCCATTCAACAAAGACATTTACTGTTAGCCGCTCTCACAGCGGCAAGAAAAATGTTAGTTAACCCTTTCACACGACGATCACACCGGTGTGATCAGTCTTGGCTGGTCCCTGGCGTACGATCACACCGGTGTGATCAGTCTTGGCTGGTCCGGAGCGTACGATCACACCGGTGTGATTAGAAAGGTCAGTGCATCACGTGATCAACTGCCAAATTCAAACCTGATTCAAACGCGCTCAGTGCTGTCATATATCACAACTATTCAGTGTTTTCAACCACATAATGTTTATTTTAGGTTTCAGACATTTAAATACACCTAAGTACTAGCAAAAAATTATTTTGAGTTTGTAAAATACACAATGATCCCAGCCGGCACATGACCGACCTTCAACGTTGAAATATGGTTGAAATAATGTCAGTTGTCGTTTCAACGTTGAAACAACGTTGAAATAACGTTTAATGCTAAATGGTTGAAAAAGGTTAACAAACACTTCTAAATCAACATTGAAATTTTTACAAGATCTGTACGTTAAAACAACGTAATGTTTTCAGAAAAGTATTCACAGCTGTAAATATAATTATTATCATTATTAACAATAATTTCAACCACAAGAGAGCAGCAGAAACTTTGCCTTAACGAGATTTTGTGTGGATTTACAATTTTGTGTGCTTGCCGTTTACCATGCATATGAAACCACTTGTCAAATTAAATAACAGACTGCAAATCAACACTTCGCCATATTGGTCGTTTCACCGTTTTACTTTTGATCATGATTGGTCTTTCAGGAAACTGGCCAATGACAATGTCCGCGCCTATTCATGTTTGAAAAATACGTCCGTTACTGTTTGAGTCGACTCATGGCACGTGAGCACAGCAGTTTGCAAATATTTCTCGGTCGGAGCAGATTATATTATTTGGTTAACCACCCAGATATTTACCCATCGCGATATTTCTAGTTAATTATATTTCGCGCAAAATTGCTCAGGTGGCTCAAGTTCAAGGAAGGACACCGAGAGAGCAGAGAGGCGGGATTT